GGATGCTCTTGAAAATCCCTTCAAACCCAAAGCATTTTGTGATTCTGAACCTCATGCCCACATTCCAGGATGATAAACCAAGGCCACGTTAGAAACTGCTGCAGGTGGAGCTGCCCTGACACGAACAGAGCACATGAATGGCTGCATCTATGCAGTGATGTGCACACAGCTCCCAGCCWCCCTCTCCAAATTTTAACCATGCCAAGAATTCCTGGATGTGTGACTCGGATCCTACCAGGCATCTTCCCCCCTACACCACGTCCAAAGGAGATGATGCGTGTTGCACTGAACGTAGACAAGAACGTGACTGGTGCTTCCCTTCCAAGTTTCCTTTAGAGGGAATCAAATAAATAAAAAAAAAAAAGGACATTAAAAGAGGAGGATGAATCATGGCTTAGTCAGAGTTGGGGCTCACCAGGGCAATCGCTGCTGGTGCTGGCATTTTGATGCTGGGGGGAGGGTGTCAGGGAAGGCTGGCTGGTGACTGGGAGGTTCTTCCAAAGGGGATGGAGAATTAAGTCTGGAGTTGTTATTTTGGGATGCATCCAGAGCCTAATGCCACTGTTCAGGATGGGTTGCTAGGTGAGTTTGACGTTGGAGCAGCAGTGGAACAAAAGAGGGGATTGAAAGGGTTTAGTTTTGGTATTTTGGAGAAGTTTGAAGACTGTAAATGCCATATAAGTGGGCATCCCATTCTCACAGAAATGGGGTTTTTCCCCTTTTTCTGYCAGAGCTCCCCTCTTTGTGCCGCCCTTCCCTCTCCCACCTCTCTGGACCTGCTCAAAGTCAATTTTTTCCCCATCCACCACCAGGACTTTCAGATTTCAAGCCCTGGCATTACATTTTTACCCGTGTTCCTTCTCATTTGGTAAATATCTGCCAGTTCCTGGGTTGGGGGAGGTATGGTAGCACCTCCAGCCTACCCTGGCTGGTTGATTCATCCCTCCACACTCCGTCCCACAGTGAGGATGTGGGACAGCATCCCTGGCTGTCCCATGTCACACTGYGCCCGTGGTGGCTCTCAGAGAGCTGACACCTCTTACTGATAACATTCTCCTCCTCTCGGTGACWTGATTTCCCGAAAAATCGCTGAGCTAAGCACGCCTTGGGCTCCTTTCACGGCAGCTGTGAGCAATAGCTTATTTACCAGCCCAGGTGCTATTTTTAGGGAGTGGGGATTTTGCATAGCACTATTCGAGAGGGGAAAAATAATCCTCTGAGTGCACCTAGTGCCATCCTGCTCCCCACCCTCTCCCCGGGGTGAAAGTGCTTTATAAATAGTAATGGTGCTTCTTCCAGCTGACCTCCCTCGGAGCAGCTGGGTGCTCGTGCCTTTGAAATCCAGGCCACTTATTTAGGAGTTGAAGCTTTCTGCTCCAGTTATTTAGGAGTTTCTAAGCCAAGAGTTACTAGGTGGATCTAATTTGAAGCRACTGTGATTTTAATTCAGGCAGGGTTTTGCTTTTGGGCTCCTTTTCATATCGTGGGGGAGGTGATTTGTGAAGTGGGAAAGAGCCACGGAGGGGGGAAAGAGCTGCTGGAGGAAGGGGGATGATGCCCAAATTCCTTGTCCTGCAGCATCATGTGAATTKTTGTCCTCCTTCTGACTCATGCTCTAGCTGGGAACCGGCTTTCTGCTGCCCTACATGTGAAAAGGATTTGGGATTTGGTGCAGAGTGATCCAGGGAGCGCTGTTGTGCCTGACTCCCATCCCTTCCTTGCCAACTGGAGCACTCACAGCTCTCTCCCATCTCCCTTCCCACATCCCGAATCTCTGGTTCTTTTCCAGCTCCCTCATAGTAGCTTTTTTAAAATTTTCTTTTTTTTTTTTTTTTTTTTTTTTTTTTTTTTTTTTTTTTTTGCCTGTGAATATTTTTCCCTGTGTAGGAGAGGGAAGGATTGTGCACTTTTTACTCCATCCATCTTGGCTCCATGTAAGGAATTAGCCAAAAATATCATCTTTGTAGATGCTTTATAAAAACACAAGCACTTGCTTCCAGAGGAAGAAAACGCCTTATGTAATAAAAAAAGGTTATGAACATTTTCGGTATTTGAGGTGCTCCTTATGGGGCTTTAAATTTTCAAGCAAAATTTGCTGTATGAAACCTCATCAAAGCAGATGCWCCCACCTCTGCAGCTCTTCCCAGCGGTGACAAATTCCCACATTTCCCCATTCCCACCCCGAATCCCTCCAAGGAGACCCCTCGGTCCCAGGTGGGATTAACCCTGTCAGTGCTGGGGGACAAGGGGGGTTTGAGCACCTGCGTGTTTGGGATTTGGGCGTCGCAGCTGGAATTTTTAGRATGGTTCCAACCCTTCTGTGCTGCAAACAAGGCAAACAAGGGCTGTGTGGGGGTGTCAGCATTGCTGGGGTGCTGTTTGTAGCCTAATTTAGGGTGAAAACGTCGTTTTCAGGAACCTGGCGATTAAGAAGTTTAACAGACTAATAAAATGCTGAAAAAGAAAATAATTATTATTAATATTATTCGCAATATTTCTTGTATATGAACACAAAATGAGAATTCGAAAAATATTAAATTAATAGTAAAATAAAATAATAAGTAATAAATAATCATAAACCCATTAAATAATAAATAATTGAATAGATTAATGAATTAAAATAATATTAAATTTTAAAAAAAAATTGAAAATTAGTATTAGGCGCCCGTTTGAGAGCAGAGGCTCCCCGCGGAGCATCCCCAGCGCTGTTCGCGGAAGGGACGCGCGGTGGCCCCGCCCGGGCGCGGAGCGGAGCGGGGCGGAGCAGCCGCGGTGGCCGCGGGCGGAGGCGGAGCCGCCGCATCCCGGGCATCCCCTCCGGGGGAGGCGGCCCGGCACCGCATGTGCGACGTGAGCGACGTGCAGGAGCGCAGCGCCGGCATCCCCCGGCCCCCCGGGACCCCCCGGCATCCCCCGGCCCCCCGCGGGACCCCCGGCCTGAACCCGCGGAGCGCAGATGGGGGAGCGCAAGGGGCGCGCCGGCGGAGCCCCTTCCTCGTCCCACCACTGTGTGCTTAGGGGTCTTCTTTTTTAAATTTTTAAATTAAAAAAAAAATATTTTGTCTCGGTGTTATTTATTTATTTTTTAAATTTTATTTTTTTTTTAATTTTATTCAACTTTATTTTCTATTTTTTTAGTTTATTTTCTTTTTCTTGCTTTCTTTAATTTTTAAAATTTTCTTTTATATTTCTTATTTTCCTTTGTTTTTCTTATTTTATTCCATATGTGTGTTCTGTATTTTTACGACATTTAAAAATTATTTTATCCCATTTTTATTTCCTACTTTCTTTACGGTTTATTTTATTTTTCCCTCCCTATTTTCCCCCCTCTTCTCCCTATTTATTTTCTTAATTAATTAAAAATTCTTTTTTTTTTGTATTTATATCTTCCATTCCTTTAATTTTTTTAAATAGTTTTTTTTTAAAGTCAATTATTAATGAATTTTAATTTTCGATTTTTAAAAAAAAAAGAAATGCAACATTTCACATCATTTTCCCTCGTTAACTAAAAAAATGCTTGATGAATTAAAATAGGGAATTTATTTAACAGTATGGTTGGCAGTTTGGGGGTGCACCCCGGGTTGGGGAGGGGTCGGTGCCGCGCCCCCCCCGCGGAACAAAGCGGGTCCTTTGTCCGCGCTGCAGTGCGGGGGGCGGGCGGTAGGGGGCGGTATGGCCCGCGCCGCTGTGCTGTGCTCCCCTCCCCTTCATCATCCTCCTCCTCCTCCTCCTCCTCCTGCCCATCCTCCTCCTCCTCCTCCTCCTCCGCGGCGCCGCAGCCCCGCCCCGGGGCGGTCCCGGCCTGTTCGGGATAGAAATCGGCGGCGCCGCGGCTGCCGGCACATCGTGAGCGGAGCCGGCCAGAGCAGCGGGCGGACTGCGGCACCACTCCTTCCCCGGCTGCCTCGCCTGGAGATTCTCCTGCCTTTTTTCTCCCATTTTATATTTTTTTTTCCAATTTGAAAGGGGAGCTGTTTTTAATTTTTTTTAAAGTATATATATATTTTTCGCCCCGCTTTTCATCGCGATTCTCGGCGGGTCTCGCCCTCGCTCCCTCCCAGCGYGCAGCGGCTGCGCTGGTGCTGCTCCTGCCGGCTTTGTGCCCTGCAGCCCCGGCCCTCCTCTTCCTCCTCCTCCCCCTCCTGCCGTAAAACCTTCACGAGGCTCAGAGCAGCCTCCGAAAGCGCCGCAGCCSCTCTTCCAAATCACCGGCTGCAACAAAAAGACCTTTTCATTTTTTTATTATATATTTCCCCCACCTCCTCCCCCACCCTCCACCTCGCCCTTTTTTTTTCCTCCTCCTTCCTCCCGCAAACGCATCAAGGTGGACGCGGAGCGCAAAAAGACCTTTGTTTTAAAAATGCCCATGGAGCTGACGCAAAGCCGCATCCAGAAGATTTGGCTTCCCAATGACAACCGCCCGGCGCTGCCCCGCCGCTGTGAGTACGGGCACGGCAGCATCCCGGAGGGATGGGATGGGATGGGATGGAGAGATGGGATGGAGGAATGGGATGGAGAGATGGGATAGGATGGAGGAATGGGGTGGGATGGGATGGAGGAATGGGATGGGATGGCTTGGGATGGAGGAATGGGATGGGAGGGAAGCAAAGCACTGTCCTTTCCCTTGCAGCGCCCTCAGCATCCCTGCAGCATCCCTCCCTCCTCCCTCCTTGTCTCCGTGCCCCAGCATCCTCCCGGTGCCCGCATCCCGCCCGCTCCCATCCCGTGACTCAGTGCCAGCCCTGGCGAGCGGGAGGAAGGTGCAGCCGTCACATGGAGGATGCGGGGAGGTGCTGAGACACGCGTGGCCCAATTTMCACTCCACTCCCCGCCCTGCACCCCCTCTGCACTCCCAGCATTGGGATTAAAAGGAGAGAGCGAGCGGGTTGTTCACCTCGCTCCGGGGCACCGGCTCAGCTGGGATTTTCACGGTGTCAAGCGCCTCGCTCGGGGATTTATTAATGACAGAATCATGAATGGTTTGGGTTGGAAGGGACCGTAAGGATAATCTCGCTCCACARCCCTCCTGCCATGTGACAGGACACCTTCCACTAGACCAGGTTGCTCCAATTAGTGTGCTCCAAGCCCATCCAATTAGCGTRTTTCAATTTATTTTTTGGATGTGGAGGGAGGATTTGGGCAATGTATTTAGGGGAAAAAAACCCCAACCCAATCCAACACCAGCCGTTTGCACTTTACTATTTAACCCTGTGGGATAAGATAGGAGGCAGGTGGAGGGGAAGGCTGAAACTTCTGCAGTGGTTTCCCCTTCACTTTGGAGGTTGGCAAGATCCTTGAGTGGTTGAAACCAACCTCCCTGGTTAAAAAAGAAATTATCTTTATATATATATATATATATCTCAAATGTTTGAGTCATCCCGGTGTTACTATAAACTAAATAATAAATAATAATCCAATCTGAAAGCTCAGGAGGCAGCTCCTTTAGCTCACCCAACAGCTACCCTGACAACCTGCCAGTTGGGCAACTCGTAACTCCAAATGAGCGTGGCAGGAATGTGCGGAGCCGGGATGGAGGAGGTGGCACTCGCAGCCTGGCGAGGGATGGAGGAGGCTCGAGTGAATCAGTCTTTCCGATGCTTTTCTTCATCGGGCGTTTAAAGTCGTTTCCGATGTTTATTTCCCTTGGCTGGAGWGTTTTCCCTTCTAAATAATAAGCATTATTTTTTTAAAAAGCAGATATCCTATGAACTTGCCAGATGTTGTTGCCCGTGGCTGTGGGTCAGGCACCCCGGAGCAGATGTTGGGATGCGCAGCCYGTGCCTGGCAAGGGCAGCTCTGCTGAAATGGATTTCAGCAGCAGGCTGCACATCTGGGTTGCCAAGGGCTTTGCTTAGAGTGGGGTGAAACGTCTCCTGGCTTAATGCTTTGCACGTGTGTCTGTGTGGTTTGCGAAAACTGGCACCTCTGAAAGAAATCCCTTGTGCATGCAGTGGGTTTTTTTTTTTTTTTGCCACTTCATTCACCTGGTTTCTCAGAGAGAACTCCCTCTTGGCATAGAAAAAAACTAACATTTAATATATTAAGGCACCGAGGGGCTTATTAATAACATAATGTGGCTCCTAATTATTTTTTCTTGGGGTGGGAACAAGCCACGCTGGGCAGTGCCCGCTGTGCAGTGTGGGAAGAGAGTTACTATGTTTTTTTTTTTTAGCTTATTCTTTTTTAACTCGAGGTATTTTAAACTCGAAGTGCTGTTAATTCCTCAGCAGCAACAAAGAGCCAAGGGCTGCAAAGCTGGGTGGGAACGGAGGAATAACGGAGACCGCGTCCGGGGTGATGCCTGGAGGGAGCGGGCGCATCCCCGGCAGCATCCTCTGCACGGACGGCTCCCTGGGTGTGAAATAATTATTCCGATTGTGCCATTGCTCGTGCAGGGCAGTCGGGAGCGGCTGCAGCCATCCCTTCAGCTGGCCTTTTGACGGCGATCCATTAAATTGCTGTCACGCTGCACGTCTCTCACGTAGGGGCTGGGGAAGTCAAGCCGTCCAAGGCGCTGGCTGGGCAGAGCCGGGCGAGGGGAGGGGGATGCTCCGGGAGGGAAGGGGCTGCCGCTGCCTCTCTCCATCCCGTGGCTGCTTTTTCCCGTCGCTTGGGCTTGGTGGGAGTGGGAAACACCCGTCGGGAATGTGCGATGTGCGGGTTTATCCCCGGCTCGCAGAGCTCAGCGCGGTTCCACGTGTGAGTGCGGTGGGGGGCTCAGAGTTGGGCATCCCTGAAGGTGTTGGAATTCCAGCGTGAAAAAGCTGGAAAAGCGGGGAGAGAAATAGCAGGACATGCGGTCTAGGCTTGTGGGGGGTTTTGGGGAATACTTATGAGACGGTAAAAATGCCTGAAGCAGGGAGGTGGCTCTTTTATCTGACTTTTTATAGAAGCAAATTTCCTTCCCTTTTGTGCTGTTTTTTTTTGTTCTTCCTTCTCTCTCCTTTTTCTCTTTCTCTTCCTTTTATCCACTGGCAGAGCTGTCTTTCTGGCAAACTGCAAAAGTGATGAGCTCCTTCTAAATATCCTCTGACAGAGCCTGAAAGTCATCCCTGCCCTTGACTTACCTGGCTGGATGTCGATAAGGAGTAATGAATATGTATTGAAATCCCTGATAGCTTCCCAGCAG